ACCCCAGAGGGATATATTTGAACTCTGACCTTTTCTCTCTTTTTTGCTTTCTGGTCACCATATTTGGCCTCACCACAGGTCCAACACTATGACCACTGACTAAAACTTCTGCAACTATGAGGCAAAATGAATCTGTCCACCTTTTAAGCTGTTAATCTCAGGTATTCGTCACTGTGATAGAAAGCTGGCTCACACAGGAAATTTATACCAGTAAGTGGGACTGCTGCTGTGATTGTACCTGATGATGAGGTTCAGAAGCCCTTAGACTTGGTTTCTGGGAGTAGTTTGGAAAAGTTTGGAGAAACAGACTGGAGAAAACCTAGAATGCTATAAGTAGAACTTAAAGGGTGATTTGGGGAGGGATTCAAAAGACCACAGTGCTAGTGGAAATGAAACTGGTCTTGTAAGATTCCAGAAGAAAAGGAAGATGGTACTGAGAATTGTACTAGATATCATTTAGGTCACAGTCTGTGAAAGAACTTGTCTGTATTTTGTGTGAAGCTGAGATTAAAGGTTGTAGATTAGTTTATCTAACAGAAAAATTTTCATGGCAGTGCAGAGCTCAAGCAGTGACATGAGTATTGCGAGATTTAGCCAGATTTATTGAGAATACTAAGCAAAAAGTAGAGCTAAGAAAGACTTTTAAAACTTGGGAGTTTTGTGAGTAAAGGAGTGTGTTTTCTGAATAGTTATAGTCAAAGACAGTGCAACTCCTAAAGAGATTAGTGCCATCTTATTATTTGTATTTATTACTATTGTTATTTGGTGTGAGTTGAGACAAGGTCTGAGTATGTAATTCAGGTTAGCATTGAACTCACTAGGTAACCCAGGCCAGGCTGGCCTCAAACTTGCATCAATCCTCCTGCCTCAGTCTCCCAAGTGCTAGAGTTACAAGTGTGTGCCACAATTCCTGGCTAAGGCTGTGCTATTTTTAAAAGCCAAGTATTCAGTGATGGGAGACTAGGAAAAATATCTTGAGGGTATCTCGGGAATTGTCAGATGCCACCTACCATAGATTCATGGGTATGAAAGTACAAATTTGCTTCAAAGATTTTGCTTGGAGAAGAGGGCCCCACAGTGCCTTCTTGTTAAAATTCACCTAGGAAACTGTTTCCCCAGGATTTTTTCCTCATTTTCAGCCATCCAGCTACCCAGAGGCCATTGCAGCTGTGAGACAGTCAGTCCCACATATTGTTGGAGCTGGTGGCAGAAATTGGTTTTGGTTTTGGTTTTTAACAGAGCAGAATGTAAGATGAGACTAAATAACTGGATGAATAATAGTTATACACAGAACACTTGAGAGCAGTGTTGCTTAAGTCCTTGGGAGTTCCACTCTACCAAATGCCCTGGACACTGGACATGGAGCTACAGGGCTTCATATTTGCCTTGCTGAGTTTTGGTCTTGTTTTAATCTAATCCTTCCTTTCTATCTCCCTAGTTATCACTTTACCAGTGGGAATGTTTATTCTTTATATTTGAGAAGTATGTAACTCATTTTCTTCTTTACTTTATAGGGTTTAAGTTTGCCTTGAGTTGTAGAGGATACTTTCAATTTAGACTTTTGAACAGTTCTAGAAGTGATAAGACTTTGGGGAGTGATGGAGAAGGACTGCATGCATTGAGCCCCTGGGGACCAGGGGTAGAATGCTATAGTTTGAATCTGGGGTGTTCCCAGAGTCATGTTTTGTCTCAAAGAATTGGTCTTCCAGCCTACGAGGTTGTTGGGAGGTGGTGGAAACTTTGGGAGTTGAGACCTAGTGAAGGAAATGGTATCCTTGCGTGCATCCCCTTGAAGAGGGTACTGCACTCTGACCTCTTCCACTTTCTCCCCTTTGATTTCAGTCAGCATCATGTGAGCAGGTTTCCTCTACCACATGCTGTTTTGTGCCATGATGCCTAGCATTGCTATTGGACCAGAGCTATGGCTTCAAGTCATTGTAGCCTGAAAGCTTTGAAGCCATGAACCAAAATAAATAATTCCTTCTTTTAAGTTGTCTATCTCAGTATTATTTCTCACAGCAATGGAAAGGTGACTAACCCATAGTGGCGTTCTTGGATTGCTTTTGATTTTTTTGTGTGTTTTCTTCATGATTATCATGGGACTTGTATAAACCTTTTCTAGTTGCAGCAATTTATTTAAAACTAATTATGATTTAACTCCAATTGCAACCTAAATGTTTAAAGTTGACCTCCTAATCATTTATATTATTGATGTCACAAATTATCACTTTTGAAATTACATGTCTATTAATGTATTAGTAAAGCCAGACCCCTGCTACAACAGTGAGATATTCTTTATATATCTATAGAGCTCCAAATACTTGCCAATGAGATTTGTACTTTTATATACTTTCAAATTGTTATTTAATATTCTTTTGTGAACTTTGAAGAACTTCCTTTAGCATTTCTTTCAAGACAGTTTAGTGTATTGAACTACCTTCAGCTTTTCTTAACCTGGGAAAGTTTTTCTCATTCCCCTCTTTTCTAGATATAGTATTCATAGTTGGCGGGATATTTCTTTCACCTTTTTAAATATACCATCCCACTCCTTTACTGTTTATGAGATTTCACTTGAGAAATCTGGTGATCGTGTAAGGGAGACATCCTTATTAATGTGAAGTTGCTTTTCCATTGGTGCCTTTCAAATTACATGTTGTCATCAACTTTTGAAAATTTGATTTTACTATGTCTCTGTGTGGGCTTCTTTGTGTTTACATTATTTGGAAACTTTTAGTATTTTTAAAAATGGATGCCTATTTTTCTCTCTTAAATTTTGGAAGTTTGGGTCAATATATTCCAAAATAAGTTCTCCTTCTTTTTCTTATTCTTTTCCTTTTTCTTTGTTTTTGATACAGGGTCTTGCTGTGTAGTTCAGGCTGGCCTTAAACTCACCATGGACCCCAGGCTGGACTCAAACTCTCATTGACCCTCCTGCATCAGTCTTCCCTGAGTGCTCGAATTACAGGCATGCACCACCATGCCTGACCTTCTTTTCCTTCTGAGACATTCAAAAGAAATGTATCTCCTTAGTCCATGATGCCTCAGAAGATGCTTAGCCTTTTATCCCTCCTTCACTTTTTGTTCTTCTGATCAGATAATTTTAAATAGTCTGACTTTGAGTTCACTGATTCTTTCTTTTCCTTGATCCAGTTTGACATTGAATCTCTTTATTTTTTTATTTCAGTTATATTCTTCATCTCCAAAAAATCTTTCTTATACTTTCTATCTCTTCACTGAACAGCTCATTTTGTTCATGGGTAATGTTTCTGCAATTATCAAGCATGTTTATAATGGTTATTTCAGTTCTTTGTGAGATGTGCCAAATGCTTCCTTCTCTTTAGATTCAATTTCTGAAGATTGACTTTGTTCTTTGGTTTGGCCATGTTTATATGTTTCCTTATGTCCTTTGACCCTTTTGTTACTATCTGAGCAGTTGGAAAAAATATTGCCTCTCCCTGTCTGTGTAGACTACCTTCGTGCAGGAAAGAACCCATTAGTTAGCCAAGCTAAGAGTCTGCTGTCTCTCAAGCTTTCTGTAGATGTGTGTTCTCTGTCTTGTGGTTGTAAAATGATTAGAACTATTAGAGAGACTTTCTAGAATAATTTTTCAGGAAGTCATAATATCTTGGTGTGATATCTATGGCTCTGCAAATTTTCTGGTTCCAGGACAGCAAATTGTCTTGCTTTCTTGATT